AACATGTCATGTACAATGAAACACTGTCCTTCATATTGTTTATAGTGTCTCAGTAAGTGAAGTCAGTATTCATAACACCAGTATTTATAAAACACAAGTTTAATTTAAGGATGAATTAATATTAAAGGTCCATGCATGTTGTAAATTAGAATAGATGAAAGATAAAGTATGGTCTAAAAAACTTCTTTGTGAACTCTTTCCTCTCTATACACTTTCGGACAAAACCGTTTCTCTTTTGCCTCATTGGAGGACATAAATTTGGTTACTACTGATCTTGAGTCACAGTTTGCTGTGCCACATATATTGTTAGATACTTTAAGGCGAAAATTTAAAGTATTATTTGCCATTGAAGCACGATATGGTAATGAAGTGAAAATGAACACTGAAACAGCACGCTCTACTGTCATGCTATGAGGGGCACATGCCAACAGTGCTAAACACAATTTTCCAAGTAATGTGTATACATCTATGTAGTTTATTAAAAATAATAGTTAAACTCTGTCAGTATGAGTTGCAGGAATCGCACGCACTGATACTGCAACACATTCTTCTGTCATTTGTACTGTTCAAAAAAAGAGGTTGGATGCATTAATGGGGGCTTTAGTTGATCTTGCTGACATCAGTTGATGTATCTGTTTCGAAAGATCATCATCTTTTAGCTGGTTATTAAGGACACTCTTTGATGAAAGTACAACTACATTTCTAACACCAGTAACTGCTTGTCTAAGTGAAACAAACGTGTTTGTAGACCTTCTGCCACTTGTGTAGTCAGGTATTTTATTAATGTTCTAGGCATTGCGGAATGATTCTTCTGACCCACCAAAAAGTGGACCTGACTGCATCAAACTTAATATTTCTAAGGCTGAATCTCTGCATTCTTTCACACCTGTCAACGGAACTTTATCATGTTGTAGTTTTTGTTGGAGAATAGAGAAAATCTTAAAGATGTTACATATAATGTTGCTCATGTGCAAAAAATATGGATCTGTCATGCGGGTATGGTAACCAGAAGACTCATTTTTTAGCTTTTTTATTTTTGGATTACTGACAGGTTCTTTCAAGACTTCTGTACTTGGGTTTTGATTCTGTAGTATTGCTGTTATCAATCTGAGATGATCTGCAAAACGAGCTTCAAAATGTCCTGGAAACTACAGCAACCTACTTTAGGTTATTGACCTTCTGTGCTGTCATCATCAGAATGTTCTTCTTCGTCTTCATTCTAATTCCCAAAAGCCACTTGTCTGAAACATTTAGTACAAGCGCGTAAGCGCAATAAAAAAAAAAGAGAGAGAGAAGAGCACCTCCTGACATTCAGAGTGCCACACTTTCACTTCTGGAAATTTTGCTGCTATTGTAAAATATTCTAAGTCAGACCTGTGGCAAACACATTAGACAGTGATATGTCTAAGAAAAGGAGGCTGTGGAACAACGAGTGCGAAGGCTTGAGAAAGTTGAAAAGGTAGTACTTAGTTTAAATTAAAACTCACAGTAAATACAAACATCTATAGAGAACAAACAATTACCACAGCTACACCATCTATACATACACACACACACACACTATAGAATCATCGACAGTAATGATTATTTTAACAAGCGATTTCGGAGTTAACCAGAGCAAATTAAAGCAGTTTGCTAAGCGGGTAAGGTCCCCACCAAATCCACAAAAGCATAAATAAATTACATGGGTGAGTAGGGTGTCATCTGCTGAGCATTTTGTTGCAGTTGTAAATGTTGAGATCTGTACGGGCGAAGAGTTACACGATACCAAGATACAGTAGCTTTGGGTGATGGTCATCAGTCATATGACCAGCAACAGTAACCTTAGTATCCCCCGATAGTGAGTTTCTTCTCTTTTCCTGCTACCTTATAGCTATTACCCCAATTTTTCATGCAGGACATTTTTCACTTTTATTCATTTACTATCTCTTTATTTTTATTATACAGCGTTTCTTCTATTGATGACTTTTTTCGCGGCACTATATACTTGAGTTCACCATCTTCTGCTGGCCTATCCTAACAACTGCGTTATTCAACCATAAATTCTATGCCAAACAAGTTGCTCTTTGTTAGTGTTTTGCTATCCTCGAAAATCCTGGAATATACACATGATGTTTGTTATAGTCATACCATTTCGTTTAGTATGTTTCATCAGGTGCTACTGGTACCATGAATCTTTTATTAGTTTGATCCTGCTGCAGAGCTACAAGTATTTTGCTTTTATTGCTCTTTCCTAGCTTGTTTGAGGTTGTTTATTCTTGGTTTGACCACCAGAAGAAAGTCCCTTGTTATTGTCGTTTGAAAAAGCTGCTTTAAATGCGTTGAAACTTTCTTTGGGCTTCATATGCGGCTTTTTGGAAACAAGCTATGCTTAAAAACGAGCATACCTTGCCTGATCACATCAACACCTGCTGCACTGGTAACCTTTCTTGAATTTGCAAGTCAGCTTCGAAACCGACGTTTCTGACATTAGTACGGAGTTTGGAACGGCCAGTATAGGGGTTTTTGAAGAATATCAGTGCGTTCTCAGTGGAATCACATTAGAACAACTGATGTTCAGAAATCAGTTTTCTGCGAAAAATCGCTGCCACTAATCATGCAAAAGTCATTTTATCTTCGTAATTCTCTTTCTCAGGATTTTCCTACACCGTTTGATTCGTCACAAGACAACTTGTACTCAGACAAACTGAAAGGGTTTTAAACCTTGCACTAGTTCAGTCAGAGATAGACTGTAACAAAAATAAACATATCTATCTACCCAACCTTCGAAGGTATGAATCTGCCATCAGCAAATAAACCATCTTTTAAGTTTGGCCATTGTAGCTTAACTTCAAGAGTATCTGAAAACTGTAGACAAGTAGTAACAAGTAATGTTTTAAGTGCCAAGTTTCCAAACTATTCAATTTAAAATCATATTCATAACTGTATTAACATTTCATCCAATAGCTTTTTAATAAACACACTTAAAATATCTTCACACCAGATGACGTTCAGAAGTTGTTAAATGTCACAGGTAGCACGTCATATCACAGACTATTCCATTGGGCAATGCAGCCCACCGAAGTGGAAAAACAACAGGGAGACAGCAATAGTTGTACAAGATCACTTGCTTTAGATGTGAAATTTCAATCTTTGTAGTTGTTTTGTTTGTTGTTAAGACCATATCTACACAATGGCTATTCGTGCTGAGGCCACCTCAGATATTGAACCCCAACTATAAGTTCTCAAGTTTACCCCTGATCCATCGGGGGGGGGGGGGGTTGTAACTGCATACTAGTAGTAACGATAAATTAAAATCAAACCACACCTAAAATTATTAATGTTTGATGGTCATGCTTCATAAAAGATAAGATGATACTTACATAAGGTAGTTAACAAATGGAAATGTAGACTTTTTTCAAAGTTCCAACCAAACTAGCGATTTCCAAATTGTGGTTCTCAAGATGGTCTCAGAAAGACCACAGCACATGTACGAATAATTTCTTTATAACTTTTCTGACACTGGAGAAAGCATTATTTTTCGCGATAATTTTACTTATTGTAATAAATATGACTATAGAACATTGATCACATTTGAGGTTTATTCAAATTACAATGAAAGTAAGTTGGGGTCCTCAGCCAGGGTGTCTGAGGTCTGGGGGGTGGACTCGGGCTAATGAGTTGGGGAGCTCCTGTTCCAGACAATCTAATGTAGATAAGTAACATCAAAAACAATTTAAAGAGTTCTAATTAAAGTGAATATTATTCAAATGTCTTAAGTTCTAATCTGTGGTAGAAGAAAACATACTGAAAGTTTTATACAACTTAAGTAATATCTGAATAACATATGAAATATCTTCTATGTCCTGAAAAATTATATGTAATATTTAAACAATCTTTAGGGTATCTGATGTAGCCAAGTAATATCTAGAGCATTTCCATAAGTAACATCAGGAAAATCTCCAGAAGATTACTGTATCTAATAAGTGCTATATAGAACATCTTCTAAAAAAAAACAACCTGATTTTGATAATTAATATCTAAAATATTTAAGATTTTATATAGCTTAGCAACATCTAGCATAGCAAACCAATGTATAAGAATTTCAAAAATGTCTATGATAGCAAATTAATGTGTTAAATATTCCATAAAATATGGTTTGTGCATTCACCGGAATATTTCTGTTAGCACTTTGATGTACAGTATCTGATGTAGCTAGGTAATATTTAGAGCAATTCCAAAAGATCTGTTGTAGATAAGTAATCCCTAAAATATTTCAAAATTCACATAGCTAAATAATATCTAGTATACCTCCAGAAACTTTTACTTAGCTACCATGTCTATACATCTCTAAAGGCTTGTAAATGAACTAATTAATATAAAAAAAAATATTTACAAAAATATGGTTTGTAATTCATGGAGTATCTCCAGACATTTTGGCATCTACAAGAGTTACATAAAAAATATTCAGAGGTTCTAAGGTAAGTTAAAAATGTATATAATATTTGAAATATTTCAAGATGTTCTGCCATTAGCTATGAATTTTGAGGATTATCATTTGGATTATTATTTGAGTATAAAATTTGAAATTATTTGACATTAAGTAATATGTAAAATATTTCCAAAGTTAGAGCATAACCATCTATTATCAGTAATATCCCAATAATTTTGCCCTAAGTTCGGTATTATTAAGCTTTAACGTAAGCATATATACACTTGAGAGTTCTAAAAAATTCACTTGGTTAATTTTTATCAGGTCTACCTCCAGCAGTTCTGATGTAGACTAAGGAAATTAACATAGGTAAAAACCAAATTATTCCCACAGCAATTTCTACACAATATAACTGTTAAACACATTAAGTATTTAGAGAAATTCTGACATAAGTTAAACAGTAAACTAACTATATTCTGCATAAAATATAGCTAAACACAATTGTATAAAGTGAATCTAATGCATTCACATATCAATAGCTATCATTTAATTTTACACATTTCAATTACATGCATTATAACACAATGGATATATAAAATTTGAACATTTTATTTTGCTTATAGTCACAATTAAAGTTTGTAACACTCCATCTTGAATATTTTTTAGTTAACAAAAAAGTAGTTTTCTACCAAAAATGCTGCATGTAGTTTACTATAATATAAAGAGAAGAAAAGGGGTATGGTAAATGTTAAAATAACAGGCATCATATGAAATTAAAAACATTCAAAACGTTACCTTTAAAAAGGCTTGGTTTTAACATTCTCAGTGTTTCATAATATTACATTCCGTTATTACACAGAAGTTCTACTACAACAAATAGTTTCTTACACAAGATTAATATTATAACATGTATTAGTTTACACTTGAAAAAAAAATTATTACTATTTTTTATATTGATTTAATAACTAAAACATTAATAAATAGTCTACAGATATCCATTTCTGAAGATTTTTCTGGTTAAATTACCAACATTTTCCAAAGTAGTTGATATTGCAAAAATTAATTTATTCCATTAGAATTTGCATTAACAATACTCTGTATGTTAGAGTTTACAGAATAAATTTCTGAAAACAAAACAATCAAATAACTTCTATTAAAGCATTTACAACTATAAATTATATTTTCTGGAATACTTCAGTATAGTAAAAAAAAACTACCACTCATTAGAAAAAACTGATACTGTCAGATTTCCAGACTATTTATACGTAAGAAATGAACTTGTTCAGAAGTTATAAAACAAAAATCAATCCAATTTATTTTTACATCTGTCCTCTTGTAATGGTATATTAATTCTTACACATTTTATATAATGCACCTATTTTAAACAAAAAAAAACAGTTTACGATATGTTTACTGTAAAACAAACATACAAAAGACTATATGAATGTAAATTAAAATAAGAATGTATATTCTAAAATCATTGCAATAAAAGTTCAATGTGGAATGTAAAAATCTTCAGTTTTACTCAGAAATTTAAAAAACTAGTAAAAAAAAAAAATATTAATTCTTGATTGGCATAATGCAAATAATAAGTACTTCAAATTAGTTAAAGTAGCTTAAATGCCAAGATTATTAGACTCTTGAGTGAAGTAAATAAAATGAGTACATACTGATTATCTCTTTCACTCCCAAGTGCATCAATTCAATGCAGCTATTTTAAAGTTTGTTTTATTTCATTCAAAAAACAAAAGTACCGGACGGACGAAATAGTTTGAAACTTCAAAAGAAATTTCTACAAATTATATAGAGCTTCTAGAAATAAACTATATATTTTAATGTGATATTTGTATGAACTTGCAGCTTTGAAAATTTGAAAAGATTTCATTGTAACGGTTTTTAGAAAAGAATTAAAAATGTTTTGCCTTTGTTGTTGATTTTAATTACTGATTTTTAAGTCTACCTATTTGCTTTTAAACTTTCCTATAAAGTATTTATTTTATAAAACTGTAAATTTTATGTGTATTTATGATCACTGGCATACAATAAAAATAACCTTTTAACCATACAAAATTATAAGCATGTTTTATATTCATGTATATAATTTTTTTGTACATTTATATTTTGTGATTTTCTTTGTCTATTCAAGCAGTTACTTAGGTTGATAAAACCTAACGTAAAGATGGCCTAAAACAGCGGGGCCTCACTGATGAAACAAAACTTTATACGATTGAGTGTAAAATGACTTAACTAAGCCCACCTCATCTTGTTCCACAAAAAACATTTATTTTCCTATCAGACTGCAATATCATAATTCAACTAAGATATAAATTGATAAAACAAGCTTTTTTTTACAAGCTTTCAAAAAAACAACACTGTAATTGTGGTGGAAACTGTTCACATACATCTTTTGTTCTAGCAACATATCACCAAGCTAAGGTTTTATCACTTTGTTCTAATTTCTACATAAATTTCTGCTGAACTAGAAGCCATACTGGCTTATACTATTGAAATGAAAAAGGTCTTTCATTACATGTTTAGATAACTAGCAAATGGCTTATTAAAGCTAAGATATAGTAATTACATCACACTGTGACAACCGAGGTTGGGAAAAAGTTGTTGGCTAAAAATCAATAAAATTACACTTTTAGTCTTGCTACAAAGTCAAATTAATGCTATTTTCTTAAAAACTATTATGACTTTCTTTCTAGTAGGCTACAAGTGGTGTATTATGCTCAGAAACAAAAATCAAGAAATTCACGAACACCTAATGATTTTGTTCAGATTGCAATGAAATCAACCCAAAATCAAAATTTTTGATTTTAAAAACTTTTGATGTATAAAATCAAATAAACAAAATTTTTTTAATGAATACATTAAAATTCTGAAGTTGTTAAATGTGTGGAAGAACCACTATGAGTTTATTTTCTATAAATTTTTTGAATTTAATGGTGTAATTTTTTACCTCGAGGAAGGAAGCACCCAAACAGTGATTATGGGCAACTTAATCCCAAGGTTATCAAACTCTAGTTGAGATACAACAAATAATATCAATTTAGTGCAAGTATTGAGACAGTTAAGATTTAAAGCTTATTACACTATAATTGAAGCATTTCATATGACTGACTTAACTTAAATAGGCCACAAAAAACACATATTTCAGAGTGAATTTTTCTGCAAAATATATTTTTTGTTTTATCTCAAAACACATGCTTCTATGCATGTACAATTACAGAATGTTAATTTTATTGTACATGTGACTTGAGACTTAAGTCATAACAAAGTGGTATATTTTGTAGAAAAAGAATCAAATTTCACAGAAATATTCAGTAAATTTACACCAGAGGTCACAACACATAAATCTACAAAGATAATACATATTATTTCTTAGCAACTGAAGTACCATATTAATCATGTTCATACAAGTTATTACACTTTTAAAATTATTTTTGTAGATCAAAATTTAAATCTATAGGTTACTGAGCTGTAACAGGGGGAGCAAGTCGTGTAACAAAAGCAATGGCTGAATGACAAAACCTTCGGAGAGTTTCAGGACAACGAGGATGATTAGCTTGCATTTCAATAGATAATCGGAGTTCGTGGAATACGTTTCTAAAAAACAGGAATTAGTTTTATTCTATACCATCAGATTTTTCAAAATGAACAGTAATGCAAATAAATTACACTTTCAGGTATAATATTAAGTTTATGATTTTTTAAATATATCTTAACAATAAGACCTAAAAATCTGAAGGACAGTTTAACCATTCAACATACTGAAATTAATACCAACTATTAATAAATATACTATAAAGGATCTAAGGGGTGAACATTTCTCTCTTATTACAAACCAGTATACTTTATATAATTTATAAGTTTACTTGTAGGAAATAGAAAATAATTTCTTATGACAAAAAACAAGTAAAAATTTACCTTGTATAGGGATTTCGTCGAGATGCATATCGAAGAGTCAAGAAGCGATAATAAACAAAGGGAGTAAGAAGACTTCCACGACCTCTGTACCAAAGAAAAACAATCCTGAACTATAATTTAAAAGGTAATAATCAAGAACTGAAGCTATCAGACAAGAAATTTTGCAGTGCTGCATTATGCAGATGTGAGCTTCACATCAACGTATGAACAGTAGATCTACAAAAGCTATAGCCCTCCCACTTTTCTTTGATGGCAATATGGCAAAACATCAGATAAGTGTACAGCAGAAAAGTCAATGGCATTCAGAAGTGTCATATGGCATGGTCTGGTCTCAGTCAACAAAGTTTGTATTTATATGTACGACAGATACCTGTCCATCATTTGACAATTGCAGGGAAACAGTAACAAATTTACAGGTGTTTGTGAAAAGTGTGGAAGACCATCTGTAGAATATTTTTCTAAAATGCTACTAATTGGTAATAAAACAAAGTATTACTTACGTAAAGATCATAAACAAAGTTAAAGGCATCAAGAATATTTCTGTAAAAGCCACCAAGCGCAAGATGTTGATTTGCTGCTGTCCAACTAAAGACATCAGTGATCTAGCTAACCATCCTGAATTTTGTCCAAGTTTCTATGCACAGAAGAAAAAGTAATTCAAATGCAGAAACACTTATGCAGAATTCTGTATAAACAAAGTTAAATTTGTAATAAGAACATGAACAATGCTAATAATGGAAAAAAGAAGGGCTAATAATATACTTCATGAAAAAATAACTACACCTAAACCGTTACTTAATTTCTCTCAATTACTTTGTTTCATTACTCTAATATTACACTTATGTACTTTACATATTACATTACAGAAAACAAAAAAAAAGGAGAATGACGACATAGTTGAAATAAACATACCTAATTATCAATTCATAAAATACTTACATACAAAATCACAACTTACATCAAGTATGCTGATGCTATAACTTGCTGAATGAAGTAGTGCAAATAGAAAGATAGGTAGCAACACCACTTAATGCTTAGTTAGGGACATTTATTTATAAATTTAAAAGGAACAAATATTTACATAATGCAACTCTTTTCACTTCTACACCAGTTTCAGCTTATATTATAAAAATTAGATATATCAAGTAAGATTTACATCATTTTAAAATATCAAATCACAGTACACTCTCCCAAAGCACACTGCAACCATAATATAGTGATAAGATAAAATTATTATATTTTAAGCTGAATGTTTACTATGTTCATTATTATAACTTAGTAAACCCAGAAGGTTTGTCAGTATTTAATTATATAAAATATTTCTTTTTTTTTTAATTCATATGTTTAGTAGGGGTACACTTGATTAACAGTTAATACACAAGTTATTAAAACACACTATTGATAGTTGTAAGCTTCAATCATATGAAATAGTAAGTTGAAGTAAAAAATTCACTTAACTGTTATTTAATTCAGTCCCTCAACTGAACAAAAAGTGACCTATGTAAGTAATCATTTTATTCAGAATATAAAAAATTGTTTTCTATTTTTTTTTACTGGCTATCATAAGCAATTAGGTACAAAATAATCAGTCACAGCATTACCCAATATCTTTAGCACAGAGCTTTCTTTATGCACAAACTAAATAGGATGTCCCAACCCCCTCTGTCTAGACTGTTAAAATAATATACAAGGTTAATTGAATGTTCATTTATGTGCAAAATAACTTAAAAATGACAAAACTTTAATTTTATAAGACCAAAAACTTGCTTGGTCAACAATAACTTTTATAAATGAAACTAATTTGATTTTAATGAGATCTCACCATCACCTGCCATAAATCCCCATATAGGGTCATGCACTCCATGTTGGAAAAGATTGGTTTATAATGATATTAGTTTGTTTTTCATATACCATAACCTAAAGATCATTTTTACTGCCAAATAAAGGATACAAGTAATGGGGTATGCATACAGGAAAATTAGGGAATAGAACAGATAGTGGCAACTATCTTCTATCAGTAGCAAGGCTAAAAACTCTCTGTTGAACTGAAAATTTGGAAGACGCTGATGAAGACGAAGTGCACTTGTAGCAGCATTACTCATGAGTGCCTTGTAATAACAACTATATGGATTAAACCTGAAAACATAAACACAATGTTCAAAGCTAGAGTATCACATTTATGCAACTGAGCATTTACATGCAGACCTCCATTTTTCTGAAGTTTAATAATGAAAATTAGATTGTAAGTAATAATGTCAGGATCTATTTATCAAATTTCAATCTAAAATGTAGTTAACTGGTTCATACCAGTAACAATACAGATGAAAAGTTTGTTCATAAAAATCATCCTATCTGCTTTAAAGAATAAATTATCATACACCATTACAACTAAACCAGAATTGTAATTTGATTTTATGTCACATTTTTGAATGCTTCAACTATTAGATGTTTTGGTATTTAACAACAGTTTTTATAAACCACTGACACAAAAATCATAACACAGTACAATATCCAACTGGCAACTAAAAAAAAATACCACTGCTATAATTTTTTTTTATGTTAGCATCTGTTTCTTACAGTAGTAGCTGAGAAAAAAAAAGGAATAATGGTCTATCTGTTTTATCTTTTGAAGAATGTTCAACTAATATATTCTATTATAAAAGTTCGAGCTTAATAATTGACACAACTGAAAAAAACAACAAGTTTTATGAATAATTTTACACACTTCCATAGCTACAAATAAACTTGTGCATTCAACATACTTACCCAAATAAAGGTATCAAATAACAGAAAGTTAGAAACATTGTAGTCATTCGAGTCATCCATAATAGAGCACTGACTTTATTAGATGTCATGTGTCCCTGTGAAGTACATGTACATTTTTTTATTATGCCTTAAAGCTAGTTACACACATAACATATAACACACATAACATTCTGCACAATGCAGAAATGGTGCAATAATGCATGGTAAGTAGTTAATTGTATATATATATATTTATATTATGGCAAATACTAAGAAAATAATATGTGCAGAAGATTATGAGTGACCTCTGTATGATTCTCAAGCATACATAAACAACATCTTTTGAAAAGTGGTCATGGAATGTACTTTAGCCACCTCCATCAAAGCCCTATTACACCTCAAAAGCTTCAGCACTATCACATAACATCACGAGTGTTTACAACTAAAATAGCCTCTTATAGTGTAAAGATCATGCATTCCATCATCAAGCCACTGTCTTTTTCAATTGGGACATTCTAGCTCCATAATGACACTACAAACAACAACCAATAAAGGGATTTCCAAAAAGGTATCTCAGAAGACATTCATGGGTGGACAGGTCTGATACAGCCACCACTTAAATAATTGGTCATCACCAGTTCTCAAATTTCATAAGTGGAATAAAAATTTGGGATCTGTGGAAATCAGCCTAGGCAAAAAATGCTGAGATCAAACAAAGGGAGAAGAACAAAAACTGTCAGTACCTAATCAAAGTCCACAGTGGACAATCACATGTAATCATAGCCAAAGATGACTCATAAACCAAAGACAGCAAGAGAGGTTGTTGGGTATTCATCATCTTGTGGAGCACTGATATTCTGCATAAGGATGGTGAAGCATTCAAGTTTCCCACAAGCAGCACAAAGACTGAGCTGAAAGCCATAAAACAAACTCTCCTCTCTATTTCTGAAAGCAACAAACAAGAAAGAAACAGTGCCACCAACGTAACAGTTGTGACTGAATCACAGGTAATATTATGTAAAATTAAGTGACTGACCTTCAACTGGATGTATGTACAAAACAATGTAGAGATAAACCTCAATCAGAAAGTTTACAAGCTCAAAACTAAGCCTCTTTATCAAATCCAGCACAACTCTAATGGTACGATATTGCCCTCTCAACATTAGTAAAAGCGGACAACTATGGAATATTGTATGGTGTAGCTGAGAAAAGCTAGGACAGTATACAACCAGAAGGTCACTGGTCATATCAATAAAGAAACTCTCTTTTTTATCTCTTGATATGAGGGGTCAACACCTGGGACTATAAACTCAAGCAGGTATGAAGTCATTAAACATGTAAAAAACCTACTACAATGCTAAAATATGTTGATCCATAAGCACAAAATAAGGTAAGATATTTTTTTTTTGGTGGAGGAGGGGACTGATCCTAACACTTATTACTTTCAAAAAAACCATTTCCTCTGATATGTTATTACTCATCTCACAATGTGTTTCACACTTTGACTGAAATCCTGGATTTGCTAACTTGCTGAACACACACAGTTAAAATATTCTAACTACATATCATGTACCATATTTTCAGTTCAAAAAACAAATCACACATATAAATGGTTGTGCAAGAACTCTATTACCATATTACCAGTTCATACAATAAATCAAACATCTAAATAGTTTTACTGCATATCTAGAATCACTTTACCAACCTAAATAAAAAAAAAAAATCACTCAATGAACAGGAAAATTAGATGATATATATATTATTGAAAAGAGGAAGTTAAAAACATTTAGAATACAAAACCTGTGTTCAATTGCCAATCAAAATTTAAAAAAATGATAATATTCAAACTCTGTCTGGTAGTTTCACTGTTCTAAAAGACAATGTTACAAAATAAAACCACAAATCTTATAATAAGCTACTTGATGAAGAGCACTTACTCAAAGCATTGTAATATTACAGGTTTTCTTCAAACTGGGAATAATATAACTAAATAGTTGTGATGAATATCTAGTGAAATATTGCATCTATATAATTAGTACTATATTATCTGACATACTTCTGAATGGCTGTAACCATGAATCTTCTTAAAGTATCATAGAACCAGTAGTGCTCTTGATTATTTTCCTCATTTTTCACTTATGTAAAAACAAAAAAGCACATGTACGTTGTATTCTATAATGACAAGCTACATTTTTGCTAACGTTCCTCATTACTAACACTGAAGCACTAAACATGTAAACAGCAACATGATTACACAATGTAACTGGTCCATTTGTGAAGCTTTCAGTTCTATCCAACTAAATTGTATTTGTTAGCAGATACAACAATCCACATGATTTACTTGAGCATGTAATCATGAACATGTGTTTCAACCATGTTTCTCCTTCTTCAAATAGGATTAAAGAATAGGGGAAAGACAATGAGAAACTTAAAATAAGCATGTTAGATTTCTAGGTAAATTATAGTCACTTTTTTTTTAATGGCAATAATGAATAAAAGTCAATACAACAATCTAACACACATTTATGACCATAATACATTACTAATGTTGAAAAAGTTGTATCGTTCTATTGATTCTTGTTTACTTGCAAGAAATCATGTACAAAGCACATCACATGACTATTTATCTGATATGGTAAGCAAATTGGTAATTAACAGTTGTTTTAATTTTCTTAGATTTATGGCTTTTGAATTGCACTTTGAACATGTGAATTTTAGTAGGAGTTATAAAAGGTGGGAAACAACCTTTAAGTGTCAAAATTTTTTTTCTTAGCTAATACAAAATGTTTCAAACTCTCAGACCTTTGGTCCTTTGAACTGTGTTGAGCGCTTTTACAAATTTTCTAGAGAAAAACCTGTTGCTGTGTGTGTGTGTGTGTAGTGCTATATTACCAGGTCAGACAAACCATACTTCTAAATGGCTGCACACAATATCTTATATAATGTTGATCAGTAATAACTAGGTTTATTATATGACTAAATTTATTATTTCAACTTTTAAATACTGTAAAGATGTAACCATTTTTGTGTTAAATATACAACTACCAAAATCTTAAATAAATTGGAAATATGGACAACATAAAAAACAGTGCAGAAGTAGCACAATTATATTGATTTGTAGTCAACAGATGTTCAGTATATAGTATAAATGGCAGTGATTTGATTTACAGATAAAATAATTTTACTTACAATCACAGCTTGAAGGCCTCTTTGTGGAGTAGAGTTTTGATATTCTGAACTGGCACTTGAACTTGACTGGTTGTCACTCATTGTTGTTTCTATCTTTTAATATCTTTAGTCTTTAATCTATAACTAAATTTATTTTGTTTTTAATGACACATACAAATATAACTAGTAAACTAATATTAGTAATCATACCACACTTGTCAGCTAAACTTGTAATGCATAATTACGAGTGCCAAGAATACCTATATAATTGAAAACCAAACATCTTTTAATACTTGTCTCAACAGATTACTTACAAAATAGCATTATGACAAACTTCAACAAAATACCACCCACTTCATTAACTGCGAGGATATTTCAAAATGTTTGCAATTTTTATATATTTCAGTTATCTTGTTCAGGAATCAAATCTGTTTAAACAGTTATATATTTCTGACTTCCTGTTTAAAGACTGTACACATATTATCATGTTTAAAAAAAACATGTCTGTCATGTTTGTTTATTGGAACCATTTGTATTTATTCTTTTTTTTTTTTACTCCACATCATCATATTTTCTCGACTTGAAATATGTGCTTCATCTGATCTTTGACCTCCTTTAAAACTTTGGAGGAAACTTAGTCTGGTCTTTTTGCTTTATTTATCTTTAATCTCTCAATCTTTCTCCTTACTTACCACCAGGGGATTAATATTTACATGATTCAAGTCGATTTCAATAATTCCCATAAAATAATCAGAAATATTGTTAATATATTTTCTTGTAAAAACAGAGAAGACTAACAAATTTTAAGTATTGGTCATTTCATACTCGTCAACAAAAGCACTGCTTAATCAGCATCCTTTCAGGGCCTAACCTCCATTTTAATATCTTGCTTACCTTGAACTTACTTACAAAATCTCAACTGTTAGTTTTACCACCATCAGCCAACTGTTTTTCACATCCTCCTTTGAACTTCATGTTTTTGAACAAATCTTTTCTGTAGTTATGCAAATCTTCCAATCTATAGTGCCTGTCAATTTAAGCTTCTTAAATGTATGGCATTTAAGTAATATTTTCTCATTTATGACCTTAGTACACTATTTAGGTTTGATATTCCTCATTATCCTTTTCCTCTTCCTAGAAATATGCTGAACTTGAATTAAAAGCAATTTTTTTTGAAAATTTCCCAGATCTATCTCACATCACCATTTAACTCATTATCCCAATTCACAAATGATAATTTTGTATCATTGTTTAAAAACTGTCTTTCTAAAAATTATATTTGCAAAGCTGTGTACAGGGAACCTATAAAAAATTTAGAGTGAGAATAATTTACATAATGTAGTAACAATAATAATTCTTTAAATGTTATATTCTAAACCAAGGTAAATATTCTTCCAAAACATTCCAGATATTTTTTGTACCTCAACCAAGACTGCTAAAAATTTTCCCTAATTTTTCACTGTGTCTGCCTGATTCACCAGAATGCATATTGATGTGGCTTCAGTGAAAAAACCCAATAGTCAATATTCAGTTTATTTTCCCTATTTTTTCTGTTCTTCCCTTTTCTTTTCCCTTTCTTCTCCTTTTCTGTCCCAATTTTCCATCACCTAAAATTCTTTCCAAGAAACTTAAAAATCTCAAACTTATTTTCATACCTTGTTGCTTGTTACAGGAGAAAGAATAAGTTTACAGAATTCACATATTAGGAATCCTCTGATAATTCTAACCTTTTCTATGTCAGCCAGAATTTAGTGTAGCAGTTTTTTGATTCTGTAAAATAAAAATGAAAAAAAAAAGCAGAATAAAAATTATTTTGTTAAGATAATGAAAGATATCCTACACAAAGTGGCTGAAGTATTTAGTATACCAGATTATAAAAAAGATGAAATATTAATAGCTCACAGAATACCTGTGCATAAAGTAAAAGATAGCACCTATAATAGTTAAATTCAAAAAATGTTTTGCATGAAGAGAAATGGTTGAAGAATAAGAAGAAAGTGGTTAAACAAAGTCAAATCCAACAGAATATAGATGAAGGCAGAGTTTATATAAATGAAAATCTAACAGCTGCTAACAAAAAACTGTTTTGGATGGCAAGAACATTATTAAAATAAAGACAATATAGATTTATTTGGATAAAAATAGTAATGTGTTTGTAAGGAAATCAGAAACTGAGAATGTAATAAAATTAAAATTGAATTGTAATTTTGAAAATTAATTTCTTGTAATCTATGGATGTTAATCTAAGCAATAGTGAACATATTGATATAAATTGTAAAAAAAGTAGAAACTATAAGTGATGTTATACATAAATTAGAACATATTGAAGGTAATATTTTGAAGTTGTTACATATTAATAATATTCACAATACGTGGGACTATTTTTGTACAGTTGCTGATGAAGTTTTGATACTGTTAGATATACTAATAATCACAGAGGCATTTCTAAAAGAACATGAAATCCAAAATTATAATTTGGAAGGATATAAAAAAAATGTAGAAGTAATAAAGGAGGAGGAGGAATTTTAATTTTTTTTATAAAGAACATTTATCTATCAAAGAATTAGTGAAATTAAGTTTGGAAGATGCAGAAATATTATCATTTACTGTTCAGTTAAATGATTATAAAGTTTTAATACTTCCAATTTACAGACCTCCAAATTACAATTCTAATCTTTATATTTTTAATTTGGATAAATTGGTAAATTAATTAAAAACTGTAAACATATAGTATATCTTGGTGATATAAATATTAATATTAAAGAAAAAATAATGAAAATAGTAATCTGATCAATGACTATCAAAACGTGTTACATTTTAATGGAGTTCAACAAAATATAAATGTCAACACAGGATCAGAATAGAGAAGTGGAAAGTTGGTTAAATCTTGTTTAGATCATGTGTATATAAAACTTACAGGTGTAAATGTAAAAAGTTATGTGGTCAAGAAAAAATATCAGATCATAAGATGTTTTTGTTAATTTAAAAAGCAGTTTAAAGACAATAAAACATACTATGAAAAAGAGCATAGAAAATGTCTTAGTGCTTAATAAAAAAAATAATGTTATAAACGATAAAAACAGCTTTAATTAAGAAGAGTTCTTAAGATTAAAAATCCTGAGATAATGTATAAAAAAACTGGTTTGTGTGTTAAATGAAATTGAATTAAAAATACATTTGAAATTAAAATAAAGAGTAATACACAACATAAGCCTTGGATAGATTCTGATATTTTGCAGTTAATAAGAGAAAAGGAAGAATTATGGCTTAAGTATAAATGTCAGAAGAATGAAACAAATGAAGCAGTTTACAAAGCAAAGAGAAATTCTGTAATGTGTTTTATAAGAAAAGCAGAAAAGAAGTATTATATGACATTCAGGGTAAAATGAAAGAAACTTGGAAATGTGTTAATGAATCAGTAAATAATCATGTTAGTGATGAATCACTTGAAAAAAAAATGAAGAAAAATTTTATCAGTATAAATAAAGTGCTACAGATTTAATAAATAATTTTAATAGAGAGTTTATAAATAAGAAAAATACTCTAAAAAGTAACCATGCTAATGAAAATAATACTAACGTCACAAATAGAAAAAATTATCTTCCGAGTATAATCTCATAGATTAATACAATTTATTTCCTTCCAATAATAGAAGTTATTAATATAGTAAATTTAATGGATATTAACAAAGGACCAGAAACTGATGGTACGCAATTAAGATACATAAAACCATGTATTTATGTATTAGAAAAGGATATAATATGCCTATTAAATTTAATTCATGAAGAAGGGAAAATATCTGATGGTCTTAAAATATAAATAATAAAACCTATTTACAAGTCATGAAAAAAGATTTCAATAATTATAGACCAATTTCCATTTTACCTGTGATTTAAAAAATAATGAAAAGTATGTATACAACAAAATGTTAGATTTTATTGAAAGAAATAACATTACAAACAAGTGTCAATATGGATTTATCAAAAATAAAAATACCATATTACTATTAGAAAACTATTCAAATGATGTAAATTTACAATTAGATAAAAATATAAAGGTACTTGTATTACTTCTTGATTTAAGTAGAGCTTTTGATACATCAAATCATAAAATACTGCTGAATAAACTATATATATGATGGGTTTTAGGGTAAGGTTACATAACTGATTCATGAATTATTTTAGTAATAGGGTTGCAATAATAAGAACTGGAGAAATAATAAGTGGTCTGATGACTATAAAATATGGTGTTCCGCAAGGTTCTATTTTAGGTCCACTACTATTTAACTTGTATGTTAATGATATTGTAAATACAGGTTTAAAAAACAAAATATATTAATATGCTGTAACTGTAACTCAAGTTGATGTGGAAGTTGGCAAAGTATTTTTCCAAGTTCATTTTAATAAATTAAGGTATTGGCTTAATATAAACAAAATATATATACGAATACTGATAAAACAAAAACTATGATAATTCACTCACAATATAAAAATATTATTAACAAAATTTTTTACAGATTCATTATCAAAGATATAGTACTAAATATAAACATTTATTTGTAGATAATAAGCACTAATCGGATTGTAAATGTACATATAAAGAAAATGTTAATACTAAGACATACTTAGAGCTAATTACAGATGATGCTTTCAGTTGGTCTAAATATAAAAATATGATTTGCAATTCATTAATTTATTAAGACCCATTACAACAAAATGATGGTGGATACAGAATATTTTCCCAATGAATGTAAAAAAAATAATTTATGTATCTTTAGCACAATCTGTTATACGTTATGGATTGACAATATATGGTTCAACAAGTAACAATTAAAATATATATATATATATAATTACAAAAAAGAATGTTTAAGATGATAATCTTAAATAAAAATGACAAACTTAATAAAAATGTTACATTAAGAAATGAAATTATAAGTACCATATATAATGAACCAACTCCCCAGGAAGTTATGGAATATAAATACAATTGCAGAGTTAAAAATTTTTTATAAAAGATTGGTTATTAACTGGTGTTCATAGACAAACTGATTAATATTCATTGAATGGTACTTTATGCTTATAGGATTAATATTATCATTAATTTAACTTTTTTAGTATCTATGTAATTGCTTGTTTGTGATAAAAGTACAATAGCATTACAGGATATGTTTTTGTGTTATGTTCAACAAGTCGTGATTTCAGATATACATTAATATAATATGATGATTGAGATAGACTTTTTATATCAATTTTGCCTTTTTGTGTTTTGTTTACTTATATTTATTGATATATATAGAAAATTTTGGTCACAATTATTAAGGAGTTTTACACAAATAAGCTGATTAAGCTTCGTGGAAACTTCTTTATTTTTCATATGTTTATTTTCTATTGATATGTGCATATTGTATGTGACAAAAAGAAAAGTGTTCTATTATATCAATGACAATCCAACATTTATTTACTAAAAATTAATAGAGCTAAAAGGCTCCACAGTTTATTTCTTCATAAAGGTTAAGTCAGTATATAGGCTTGTTTTTTTTGTGTTGTTTGGTATCTCATGCTTTATGGTTTTCTATTCTAAGAATTTGAAAGGAGTACAAAACAAAAATTATGCACTTAAGACTTTTGTATTTTATTTTATACATACACACCCACACATATATATTTCATTTAAATTTAGTTCCAAAGGATAACAAGAGGTTTGGTCCATCTAGGCTATTCAATTGTTTTACTACAACTTTACATCGAACAATACAAAACAATATATCCAACCATGACCTCTAAGACGTAACAACCCTCTGCTTTCTTACATCCAGCCACTTTTCCATCCAATTTGCTAACTTATCCCCCACACCTACAGATATTTGTTATAAGGCTTTTATGTGGCACCTTGTCAAATGCTTTCTGAAATTCCAGATACACCAAATCTACACCCTTACCCT